GCGTGATAGGACTAAAGAGGTGTGTTGAGAATCAACTGCAAATTCAAATAAATTTATCTACCCTTACCAAAGATCATAATTTTTTACGATTGCATGCATCTTTTTTATATACAGGTAACTATCCGCGATGTAATAACCAATGAGGATAGAACGTTTGGTGCATCATTAAGCTATGCTATTTCAAAGCAATTCTCTGAAGATGGTCTTCCTTTCGGGCGATATATCAAGGTGACCTTTATATCAATGAATAAATGCTTTAAGCCTTTTTATTGATTTAACTTCCCGCATAAATATCAATATTTTTACTATCTTTAACACGAACTGACTAGGAAAAAAATATATTTTGCCAGTTCAGTTTTCTTTTCTCAGATTTATTTGGACCTGCTTTGCTGTCTCTATACATCTGCTTGCTTGAGTATTCCTTAACAAACTATTCTCCGGGTCAAGGTCTTTAAGCAAAAGTAAAGTCTCCCCTAAAACTCATCCAATTGTTTGTGTAGATTTGTATGATATAAAAAAATTAGGTCGGACGATTTGACTATATTTTCGCTTTGTATTTTGTTTAGAGTTACTTTTTCTAACTTGCTCTAGTATTACTTTTTCTTCAACTGGCTAGATTTGTTAGAATTTGGATTCAATGAATAAGAAGCTATGTAGATCTAGATTGTAGAGATTAAAACCAAGGTGACTTGATCGCACTCTTTTTTAGCTTTATAGTGTTAGTTTGACCTGGTTTTCGCATCTTAGTCGGAGCGAAATTGTCGAGTGTCTTTTGCATTCATATTTTTGAAAATGTATAGCATCAGACTGCTGACTTGGTACATTCCCAGACGTTTTTATGTCATCCTACTCGCATTCTTAGCACAGGGTTAAAAGTGAAAGCAATCTCCTTAACCAGATTTCTGTTCCATCGTTGTGGCATTTTCGTTCTCCCCATCCTTGATTCTAGCCGTGCACCTATGCTCCTCAACCTCACTTCATGCAGACCATCTTTAGCTTCGTTGCCTAAGTGTGTCACTTCAAACTGATTTAATGAGGCGTTATCAACTTTACCACCGACTTCAGATGCTGTTGGCAGAGCAACAGCTGTAGCCTTCATGCCAGTTCATAGGAGGATAGACATATAAAGCGTTTTCCCATGTGTTTCTCGTTATCCTGTCATATTTTTCGTTACAAGCAGGTTCTGAGTCTATCAGGAAATCTTATGCAGGGATTAGGGTGATGAAGGACTAGTAGTTAACTTTTCACACAGTGATAGAAATAGGCCTCGTGTTTCCATTGAATTTCACATAGACTTGCTTCTAAACAAATCTCATCATTCATGTTGAACAACATTTCGACTTCGCCTAGGCTTCATCCTTGACAATTTAAATAGAGAAATGTAATATAGGAGAGGCCTGGTCTTTATTTAAAATTCCTCTGCACCCAAAGAGACTCGCTTCAGTGTGGCGAAATGCTTAAAGTGTCGATTCTATACGCTGCACTACCTGGGTTTGAGTCCAGCTAGGGGTTCTGATGATACATGGGCGAGGTTAAAACCGCAGTCTACTCTGGATGACAATACCGTTTAGGAAGCATAGCTATGGAAAATTCAACGGAAATACTAGTCCTTCATTACCTTAAACAAAATAAGGTTAATACATCTCTGATCCTTTGACAATCATCTTATTCTCTTCTCACGATCCGCATGCTTTAGTGTATTATTTCCTATGGATATTCATTCCTAAGAAATAGCATACTC